AGAACATGACTAAATACGACAGTCAAGACGCCCATACACACTAAATCTCCACGAAGCCCTACATATACTAACTTTGGTATCACGTGACGTGAATAGATGACGAAGGTAAATGACATAGCCAAGCATGATAATCATGACATGGAAGTTATGTATGACAACATTTACATCCACCTAGTAACGTTGTGCTGATTTTAATGTGACATATCAACATTTCTCATTCATGCTTCGCATATCATCGATTTCCACTGCACGTTGGGTTCTGCCAATTTTTTTATTATCTAATGCTTCTGCCCACTACCCTTTTTAACCACCCCACCTTCTAAAAGCGGTTTTCTTTCTTATTTGCTTACCTAGAGAAAAATGAACAAAAAGTATTTGTTTACTTTGAAGCTTCATCGTTTTGATTGCTATTTATTACAAAAAAGTTTGGAGCACAAGATATTTTATTCACACTGGAGTTGGTTTACCTTGCTCCGTTGAGTGGGTATTAGAAATTAGACTCCAATTCTGCTGGTTATTTAGTGCGTAGTAGTGCAATGCAGACTATGAATCAGCAGGCAAATAGTTTTATTGCACTAGTGTGGTACTCTGGAAATAAGGACGCCGTATTCTTACCACTCAACGCATGTATGACTGTAGTGTACTTCATAAAAAAGTGATGGTTTCAGACACATGCATCGGGAGCTTCTCTCCCCGTAGCAACAAATTTGAAGTGAACCCCGGCGCCTAGAGCTATGACAAATGAATGATTTTACCATTTAGGAAAGTCGAGGTCTAAACCAATAAATATTTTCGTAGTTCTCTCGGACTCGCGAAAAACATTTCCTCGTTATTCACAGGTGTTTGTGGTGTGCCACGTACACAGTGGCCTAAAAAGTCCTGCTGACCGCACTCTGTTTTACTTTTGCTCTATTCTACGTATATTCTACGTTCATTTCATCTTGCATTGTTTTCGTCTTTTTTCGAAAACCTGGATTCTCCTGAATTTTATTGAAAGAGCGACAAATACCTCCTCCGTCCTGCTCATTGCTGTGGTGGCACAACATACAAAGAAGAAGCAGACAAAGATACTAATCCTGTACCATTTTATTCCTGTTTTTGAGAAATAACCTTTAGTTAAATGCGATAAAATATAACTAACAACCAAATTATTTCGCTCAGGTTAATGCTGAAGTGTACAATACAATCCTAATAGCATATTACTTGCAGTAATACTTTGATGTATTAGTCACTATCGCCATTTTTTTAGTAATTTTTTCACTCAGAAGAAATTATCCAAGTAATTTTCCAAACTTTCGACTACGCAGTCTTGCCTGATTCCCCAGAGTGGCTACGGGCCATACAGTCCAGCGAAAAACAAACTCAAGCACAGGCACAAGCTTCCTGAACGAAACGAAAGCATAGAGAACCATCACACTAAGTAAAGTTGACGCGGAGCGCATAACAATCCGCGTACGGGGAATAAAAAATAATAATAAGGCCGAATCATTGAAAAATGGCTTTGTGAAGGGTAGAAATTTGGAATGAAAGCGCAAACTGAACGTTATATGCCCCATTTCTGCACCTGACCAGATGCGAAATAGTATGGTTTTCCATTTATTCCGCAGTATCGTCTACATTTTATGGTACACACACACCCACTCAAGCACGCTTTCAAATATAAGCATGCAAAGAAAAGAACGCAAAGCTGAAAGCGGGCCGAGAAATTAGAGACAACAACACTTAACTCAGACAAGCGACACTTTCTTTTCATGTCTATTTTGTTTTTCTGGTTATTTGGTGATGCTCCTAGCCCTACATCGATCTCGGCCCTCACTTGTTCATGCGAAAAGCCCGTCCACTTTGCGAGGCAATGCATCGCCTGTCTATGCGCGAGCCACCTACCCAAGTATCTGGGTGAAGCACCTAATGTAAAGAAACAGAGCAACGCAGTCGTGCTGGTCGTGTATGGCTCAGTATCTGAGACGTGTGAAGCAAGGAAGAAAAATATGGTCAAGAATTCGACCCGGGCGTGCCCTTTCTTTTTCAGATGCATTTTGCTTTTCTGTGGGCTTTGTTTCTTTGCGCAACCCTTTTAGGGGCAAAGCTCGTTATGGTGTGGCTTGAGCGTCCCCGCTCTGGATAACCAACCCTCGTTAGGAGGAAGAGGAGAAAGAAAGTTTAAGCAGAAAGACAGGGAGGTTAGCCAGTTCTTAGACCAGCTGGCTACCCTGTGCTGGGGAAAGGGGTGAGGGGAATTAAAGATGTTAAAAAAGAAATGTTGCGAAGAGAGGGAGAAATTACAAAAAAAATTGCGACAGAGGAAAGGCAACATCAAAAAGTATAGGACACTAAAGTCTGTCTCTGAGGCCAGTTGTCCGCAAAAAGCGCAGCAAAGCTTTCAAAGCCTTCTGGGCTGAGGATGGGCTCGGCCAATGACCCAGAATCCTTTTGTTCCGACAAAGGCCCATTGTCTAGTATATCCAGAGCTCCAGTGAGTTCTTGTCTTTGCACGTTGAAATAGGTGCACTCACACAGAAGGTGCGCGATGGTTTCTTCGCAACTGCAGTAAGTGCATGTAGGAGAGCTGGCCATCCCGATGAGATAAGAGTATGCGTTCGTGAAGGCTCCTCCATAATAAGCATACTAAGAGTATGCGTTCGTGAAGGTACAGTGGAACTCGACAGACTTCACAAACGCGCGCCTGCATAACTTGGATCCCGATCTGCAGCTTCGTCTTCCCCCAAGGATATCTCGAGCTGAGGAGACTCTTCTATGCCGCCTGTGGCTTGGAACCCTCGTTAATAATCGAACCGGCCATATAGGGTGGTACTTGTATTATACGCTGAAAAATGCAAACTGTACGACACTGGAGGGCGTCACTTCTAGAAAAGAAGGGTTGACGTCACACGTTAGGAAGGAGAAAGAGACGATCACGTGTTCTTCGGCGGCACCACACGCCAGAAGGCGCTCTATAGTACAATAAAAGCGCCGTTTTGGCGCATGACGGAGCATGGACATGGCTGCTGAGCGGCGCGCGCGCAGGGCGTCGGCAGCTCGCGTACGAAGAGACTCCGACATGCTGGCGCACTGCGAAGACCCTGCAGTACGAATACTGGAGGCTGAAGGAGCACGCCAGCGGCGTGAAGACCCAGCTTCACCTCGTGGATATGCTGTCATTTTTGTTTCCTGTCGTTGTAGGGTTGGTTTTTTGAAGACAATAAAAGAAATTGTGATCTAGTACCAAGCACTTGGTCAGCGCATGTGTAGCCATGTTTTGAAAGCACTAATCAACAAAAAAATACATGTAACGGTGTTGAGAAAATGCCGTCATGGCACATTTACTGTGGAAAAATAAAGAAATATGTGCATGGTCGTGGTCGCGAAGGCTTTATGGTCTTTTAGACACGTGAGCGCATATATAGGTGCCGCCCAAAACTTACTTCTTGCTTGCGTTTTTCACCCCTTGCAGGACATATAAAAAATTGTGACCTTTTATTTTCAATTCTTCAAAAGAGTTTCTTTTGTAGCGTCTTTGTTTATAGCGATATAATTATCATATGATCTAGGTCACACATATATGAAGCATAGAGAATCTGCACCATCGCACTAAACAAACCAAAATGCTTAAATGCCTTGAACTTTTGTCTCATTTGTGAATATGAATCTTTCTTCTTTAGTCTTTTTGACACACTTCATGTCTTTCACCTTTTTTTTGAATTCCACTGGGTCGTTTTGCCCCTTCTTCCTTTAATAAAGCTATATTGCTATTGGTGTCATAGGCTGGCGCGTCTACGTTGTCTTTTTTTTTTTGCCGATATAACGCACACTGACATCTCACGCTGCGTCACAGTTATAAAATCACCAGCGCGACTGTCACGTAGTCTTTCGCGTCGGGTCAACAAATCCACCATGCAAGTTTTAATGCTAAACTTCAGTGAAAAACGCCCTAGATCGTGCAACGTCATTTCTTTCTTCCAAGTTCCTTGTCTAGTGCACGCAGGTTCCTTGCTGAGCGGAGTGAATCTACGCGAGGCGCTGGGTAAACGCCTTCACATAAGAGGGAGGTTGGTGAGAGCTGGAAAGGCCGGCCTTACTATGGGTGCAACCAGCCAGGCGAGAACGGCACAATACTATGGAGGCATTGAGAATAGAAGAGGCAAATGAGCATAGAAGCAGCTTGATGGCATTCCAGATTTTTAAGAGGCCGTAGGACGGCTTTCTTCACAGAATACACTAGAAAGTTATGTTCTGTGGATGATTTTGGTGCTACCCGATAGAATATATACAAGTTATCTTTCCTCACAATGCAAGATCACAGTCAACATAGCGCGTGCGTTAAGGTGCAAAGCTTCTGTTTAGGATATCAGTGAAGGTACTGTAGCCAATACCGTACAAAGTATTGAAAGAGCACTATCTTGGCGGTAGAAATCTGAGCAGTATAACCGAAAAAAACAACAAGAAAACCACGCTATTTACACACCTACTAGAATAGTACAACAAAAAAATTGGCAGATTCGACGTACAGTGGGAATCGATAATATGCGAAGCACGAATTAGAAATGTTGATGTCAATATAAAATCGGGACAATGTTACGAGGTGTAGGTAAATGATGTGTACATGACTTCCGTTTCATAATTATCATGTTTGGATGAGCCGTTTGATTGATTGATATGTGGGGTTGAACGTCCCAAAACCACCATATGATTATGAGAGACGCCGTAGTGGAGGACTCCAGAAATTTTGACCACCTGGGGTTCTTTAACGTGCACCCAAATCTGAGCACATGGACCTACAACATTTCCGCCTCCATCGGCAATGCAGACTTCGCCGCAGCCGGGATTCGAACCCGCAACCTGCGGGTCAGCAGCCGAGTACCTTAGCCACTAGACCACCACGGCTTTTTTTTTCTTTTTTTAGTGCCTGTTTACATACAACATTCACAAACATATATACATCAAACAAAGTAGAAACATGAAACAACAAAAGGAGGTAAAAAGCATCATATTTAACAGGCTTTTTAAAATTCCTTCATCTGTAGAAGGCTTTCTACTTGATTAAGCCATTCGGGCACCTCTTGTTGAACCTTTTGTGCTTCCACGAACGAACAGACAGATTGAAAGAAATATTGCCTAACCGGACGTGCATTAACATCAGCATGGCGCACCGCCATTCTAGATTGCCATATACCGTGCAGGCCCAGTAACATTACTAGGTCGAGAGGTATTCCTTCTTCATTTGATGCTGGTAGAAATCTGATGTCATAGGCATTGATAGGCAGATCCTTTTTCAAAGTTCTTTGGAGAACATCCCAGAAAAAGACTGCATCCCAGCAGTCCAGGAAAACATGTTCAATTGTTTTCGGCTTTTTGCAGAGAAGGCAATCAACACCCCAAGGAACGAATAAGCCTTTTTCTTGCATCCATGTTTTCAAGGCCAAGGTCCCTGTGTGCAACTTCAAGAAAAAGGATTTCTCTCCAGGTGTTACCTCCATTTTTTTTACACGGCTTAAGACATTTTGGCCTGGGCCTACACGGTATAATGCTCTATATAGGGGAACAGGAAGAACTGTTTCCACTAAATCTTTGTATAACTTTTTACGCGAAACCGTACTGAGGTATTCCAATGAAAAACGCGTTTTCAGAAAGAGACATGAATTGACAACTTCTTTTAAGAAACCACTAATACTTACCTTCATGTGAACAGATGCTACCACAAACTCTGGCAACCGTCTTCCAAGCCTAAGCTGTATAATAGTACGTATGAATGGGTCTCGATTATTTCGGAAAAACATAAACCGATTAACTAACTGACGAAGATACAAATGACACAGACCAAGCCCTCCAGAACGAACCCGTCTGAATAAGTTAGTTCTACTTGTTCGCTCTCAAGAAGAGCCCCACAAGAAAACAGCAAATATTCGATGAAGCTTCTGTAAATTCACACGTGAACAATGCATTACATGAAGGACATACCAGAGCTTACTGACTAAAAGTACGTTACAAAATGTCGCTCTGGCGAAAATTGATAGCTGGAAACCATTGAGTTGTTCAGCTTTTTCTCGTAGCTCCATGGCCTGACGCCGTCAGTACGGTTCACTGTCACAATAATATTCTAATGGCACACCTAGGTATCGTACCGGAGTAGTAGTCCATGAAATACCAGCCACAAATTGTGGAGTCACAGGCCATTCGCCGTGCCAGTAACCCCGGCACTTGCTCCAGTTTACCAAACTAGCACTTGCATTACAAGAAAGGTTCACAATTTTTATGGTTTCAGTGATACTATCATAATCTTTACAAAACACAGCTATATCATCTGCGTATGCCAGTACCCGTACTTTAGCTTCTTGTAGTTTGTACCCCACTATGTTATTGCTTTTCATGACTTTTTGGCAAAATGACTCTATATAAATTGAAAATAGGAGGGAAGACAAAGGGCAGCCTCGTCGTACAGAACGTCTGACATTAATTCGTTTCCCAAGAACTTTGTTGATGATAAGCCGAGTTTTACTTCCAGTATATGCCATTCGAACTGTATCTCGAATTACTTTGCCAACATTGACATTGTCTAACAAAAGAAAAAGAATTTCGTGCGGTACTCGGTCAAATGCTTTTTCTAAATCTATCTAGATCATCGCGATGTGATCGTTTGTGGCGTCGCAGCACTCCAATACACTTCGTGCCTTGTGAATGTTTGTGAATATAGTGCGCCTTTTAATCCCACATGTCTGGTGGTCGCCTACAATGTTATTAATAACTGCCTGAAGTCTCCTTGCTAGCACTTTCATCAAAATCTTGTAGTCGATATTTGAGAGACTGATTGGCCTGTACGATTTCACTTCACGTAATTTAACTGCGTCCTCAGTTTTTGGAATTAAATTAGTATGAGATAGCAGAAAAGAAGGTGGCAGAGTCTTTATGTCTAAGGCTTCGTTAAACACCGCTGCCAGGATCGGTGCTAGTTCATGTTTGAATTCCTTATACAATGCGGCTGTTAAGCCATCAGGTCCTGGGGACTTTCCCAAATGGAGGGCAATGATTGCTTTTGTCACTTCCGGTTCAGAAATAGGACATTCTAGGCTGTCTTTCCTGCAGTCCTCAACCTTTGGCATTAATTTTAAAATTTCATTCTTGAATTCATCTACATTTACTTTACATTTATCAAATAAAGTGGTGTAGTACTCGTTGAAAGCATCCTCTATATATCTTTGTTCACTTGTAACGTTACCCATGTATTCAATCTCATGTATAACATTTCGCTGAGCGTTTCGTTTTTCGAGACCAAGCATTCTTTTGGTCGGTTTCTCTCCTACGGTCATTTTCTCTGCCCTTGCCCTTATTTGTGCGCCACGATACTTCTCCTCATCAATTTGTTCCAATTTGGACTTTACTGACCTTATATCATTTGTGAATATGCCTGGCGTTTTGCTGTCCTCTGCTAGCAGTTCTTTGAGATTTACACGTAGGGTTCTTTCTTCTTCACTCTTTCCGTGTTTTATTACACATGAGCGTTCTATAGCTATCAACTTTATGTTCTGTTTAAATTGTTCCCACTTCACTCCGTATTTTTGGTCTCCACTATCTATGTTTACCAACGCCTCTCGAACACTGTCCATAAATTTTTCGTCTTCCAAGAGATTAGAATTCAGCTTCCACGTGTCCCAGTTAAATACTGGTCTACGTCTACTTCTTTTACCTATTACAAATGATACTAAGCAATGATCACTAAATGAAATAGGGAGGACATTGTACTCACTGATAATCGGAATTAAATCCAGTGATACGTAGGCCCTATCTAGGCGCGCATGACTGGAGCCTTGGAAATGCGTATACAGTGTTGGTCCTTTACCAATACACTCTGAAACATCCTCAAGGTCTAAGTCAGAAATCAGATTCGTTAACGCGACTGTGCTTGAGTCGTTGAAATTGGATGTACTTGTTTTATCATCGGCACTGATCACACAATCAAAATCTCCCATAAGGATGACTATGCGATTGCATTCACAATAAGTACGAATTTCGTCGAATGTTACACACCGTTCATCAACTTTAAGAGGTGCATATAAAGAAATCACTCGCCAATTAAGAGAAAAGAAGCTCAAATCACATACAACAAACTTTCCGGATTAGTCAGACGTGACGTTTTGAACACTGGCTCTTAAACTATTCCGCACAAAGGTCACACACCCTGCCGACCTACCAACTGCATGACTGACGCTGGCGGTGTAGCGTCCGGTGAAACGTTGCAGTAGGCTCTCGGTGGCGTCCACGCTCTCCGCTTTGGTTTCCTGAACTGCAATAATGTCCAGGTCTTGGTCCATGGCTAGTCTGTAGAGCTGAGTCTGTTTCTTTCTGGAAGCCAGTACTCGTACATTGAGCGTCGCTGCTTTCACGAACCCGCTCAGCGACGTGATCGGTGAGCGGGTCCAAGCTGAGAGCCCTGCACGTTCACTTATTGGGCTCTCGTCGTCCAGGGTGGATCCATGTTGTTCACCTTTAGTTTGAGCGGCCATCGTCGCGTTTGAGCGACGACGACCGTTGTCGGGCAGCGTTTTGTTTCTTGCCTCCACTGACCACCTTCCACGGCACTTCTGACTTTACTTGCGTTTCGTCTACTTGAGGACCGTCGTCTGAATTGCGACGGCGTTTTGCAGACGCCGATTCTAATTCCATGCTTAAGGTATCCAGGTCACTAGGCAAATCCTCATTTTCGTGTGTTTCGTTCGCGAAAGAGTGCTGTGAAGCCGAGTTTAGAGGAGTCGAAGCAGCGTTGGCCTGGGACGCCGGCGGTTCAGGGCGCGTTGCTTGCAGCTGTGACGTGGCGTGCATCGCAGGCGCAGGACACGTCTGTTCGCTAGTCGTTGGGGCCGCTTGACTTCCCATTTTCCGTTCGGCGTTCGTGTCCAGGGCTGAAGAAACTTGCTTGCTTTTCTTCAGCACCGGCGTGTCGTCCGATGTCGTCTGCTTCTGTGGTGTCGCAGGCGAAGACGCTTGTTCAGATTCCTCCTCATCCATGAGAAGCTCACTCTGTTGAGTCTCTGGACTTCGCCCTGCAGCTCGTGCGTATGAACGGTTACACTCGTCCTGCTCATGACCGAAAGAGTGGCATTCGCTGCTCTCTGGGACCTTACAATCGCGTCGCATATGCCCCGTACTTCGGCACCGCAAGCACAAAGGTGGTCTTCCCGGCACCACGACCAGCGCTGTACTGCTGCCAATACGCACCTGATGGGGCAGTTGATCCACAGAAACGCCGTCTCGTAGTTGCATGCGTATTACACGAGTGGTCGATTCAACTCCTTCAAAATTCTCGACTCTCCATCGGTCATCGGTCACCTTCTTCACGTCGCCGTATTCATAGAAGGCACGTCGAATAGCGTCTTTCGTAACATCGAACGCTAGCCAGTGCAATTTCATTTTAACCTCTTGCCGCGTCGGGTCAATGACGAGACATGCCCGGTCTTCAACTTTAAGAACGCCTGCGTCTGTCAGCGCTTTCTTTGCTTCCACGGTCTTCATGTTCAATAGCCACACGTGCGACATCTGATATGCTCCGATGCCACTTACTTGCTGTATGACGCCTAAATCTTTGAGAGGTTTCCTGAAGTCGTCGATGCGGTACGGTCGGCCGCTGACGTCGCAGTGTAGAGCTACTGCTCGACGCATCGCTTCACCTGATGGCAACGAAGGCAGAATAATCCTGTAGTGCTTTGGAACGAGGGGAGACGCTGTACCGCTGCCGGCGTCGGCCGCTGTCGCTGCTCGGGATGAGCTTTCTATCCTGCGTCTGCACCAACCGGCGTCCAGAAGCAGAATGACTAGACCACCACGGCGGGGCTTGAATGAGTCGTTTACCTTCGTAATCTATTCAAGTCACGTGATATCAAATTTAGTGTACGTGGAGTGAGCGAAACGGCCGTGAGCACGCTATGAGTGTGGTATGTTGTCATTTTCTTACATGACACGCGTGTCAGGATTATCCTGTTTCCACCAGTCATATATTTTGAAATTTATTGGCGTGACGTAACACCAAATTCGGTATATGTGAAGCCAGCAAAGCGGTCACGAGCGCATTATGAAGGGCCCAATATACTCCAATGTAGCGTTGACGAGCGCGACACAACGATAGGAAAACACGAGCACTCTATAGTCAGACGCCAGGCGCGACCAGCGTCCGTCGACGCGGCCTGATGGCAACCGGCGCGAAATGCGACATGCTGCGTTTCGCGCCGATGCGTTATCCAGACAATACTGCTTCTCCCTCTTCTCGTGACGGAGGGTGCATGCCCGCATGCGTCAAAGCAACGCAGAACGGCATGCGCCTGCGAGTATATATCAGGACCATTGCCTGGCGTGGACACGCCGGCGTGACGCGACAATAGGAACGCTGGCGAGCACGCACACCGCGTCATGTCGAAATGTATTGGCGCCTTCACTGTGTATGTTGTCATGTTCTCACATGACACGCATTTCATGATTATCATGTTTACACCATTCAGACACCTTCGTCATCTGTTGACGTCATGTAGTACAAAGTTTGGCATATGCGAAGCTAGCGAAATGGCCACGAGTGATCATGAGTGTGGCATGTAGTCATGTTGTTGCATAACGCGCATTGAATTGAATAAACTTCTATTTGGTCCTCCGAAACACAGATCACTGTTTTGCGGGCAGCTCCTACGTGGGGACTGAGATGCCGAGCTCCTCCGCCGCCTCACGGGCTTGGTGGACAGTCCAGAGCTGATCTGCCAAGGACGAGCTTCAGATTGCCGCCTTCCATCTGGCAGAGGTTATGTTCGATACATGAGTGAATTCGGTACACTGCCAGAGCATATTCTCTAATGAAGCTATTTCCTTCGACACCAGAGAGGGCAGGGAAGGAAT